AATAACATCTAGCAGATTAGCATTCTCTGTCCCTAGATGATTTTGTTCATTTGTATCCTCACAATGTTGTAAAAACTGCCCCCCAGAAATTTATGTTGGAATAAATGACACTTTTATTACTCTGCTTCTCAAAACAATTAAGATATGATAATAAGTGATTCTTGAAAAAATATCAATGCATTTGGTTAATATTACACAGAATAAAAACCCAGTATACACGAAGACTCTTGACACAACATTCCTCGGTAGGTAAAGATTGGTTAACATAGTATCAATGACCTTACATAGTAAAGACTTACATAATAAAGTGAAATTATCACTGTCAAGTACAAATATAGTATATTTGACTTTAAACAAGGCATTGAAAAGACACAGAAATAAAGCACACTTAAAATATAGTAAAATAAAGAAGGGACAACAGAACATGTCTGTAATCCCAGCACTTTGGAGATGGAGGCAGGAGAGTTGAGTTCAGGGTCATAGGGGGCACCTCATCTGAATATGGATCAGAAGAGTTCAATGACCTCTTTAGCTGCAGTGAGTTTGAGGCCAACCTGGGTTATATGAGGCTCTGTCTCAAGAGAAAAAAACAAGTGTGATGAAATTCTTTCTGTAAATGTAGATGAGGCAAAGCATGATGTCTCTCCCTTTGAACTATTCTACCCAATCCAAAGTGAAACAGGTGAGACTTGATCCATTACTAGATTTGTCTAGTTAAGAGCACTGACTGCTCTTGCAGAGGACCCAGGTTCGATTCCCAGCACCCATATGGTGGCTACAAACCGTCCTTAACTCCACTTCCAGGGGAGTTTGAAAGGGAAGATTGAGGGGTGGACGTGATATAAATACAGTGCTCAGGTATGAAAGTCTCAAAAAAATTAAATTATAAAGAAAGAATCAGTTGTCAAAACTTCAGATTTTTCCTTTCCTTCAGCAACGTGATTAAGAGCTTAGCCTGTGACTGTTCCTACACAGGACCTAGGTTTGGTTCCCAGCACAAACATGGTGGCCAGAAACAGTTCTAGGGAACCCAAAGCCCTCTTCTGGCTACTGTTGGCATTGCACAGCATGGGTGTACCTCCATATAGTCCAATACACTCATACACATAAAATAACAAAAATAATAAATAAAATATTTTTTAAAAATTTAAAAAACTGCATTAGCTTGTCTTACTTAGTTACTCATTTAAGTTGTATGATGAGGCAGGAAAAGAGCATCCAGGGATGGTCACATTCAAAGTGACACACAACATGACAAGAAAGAGCACCAGCAAGGTCACACTGGAAGAACACAGGAAGGGGAAATAGGATCACAAGGTCAGAGAGGTCAGAAAGCCTTGGGATGTGCACAGCTTCCAGCCTGCTGGTTTAGATATCATCAGAAGAGAGAAGCTCTTGGAACATTTTAGACAGAGGGCTGTCTTAATCCGATATTTTCAAAATTTTACTCTGACTGCTAGATTTATATGAGTCTTCCAGAGTAGGGAGACTGTGTTTTCGACCTTAGCAAGATAGGATATATTTTGGCCTTGTATCTGATGGGGCATCCTGATGGATTAAATGGGGCTAAGCAAGGCTGCCTTGGGGAGAGACTGTGGGAAGACTGTTGGAGTGGGCAAGAATCTAGTTTGGGGATATATAATCTTGAGTAGATGCATCAAAGGGGCAGTTAAATGTCAAAGTTTGGAGCCTGGTTATGAGATCTGTATTGGACTTGTCAGTGTGGTAGCTATCAGGTCTCTGCTAGTGTTCAAAGGTATAGGGTTGGGTCCAGTGGGATACTAGCTGGAGTGGATGGCCTAGGAAGGAGCCCTGGGCTTCTTTTCCACTGAGAGCTTGACAAAAGGGATGCGAAGAAATGAGGCAGTATGGTCTGGAGGAAACTGTCCAACGAGACTTACCAGAAGCCACAAGTACAGAATGAAAATGCTATACTCTGTCAAATGCTATGAAGATGGCATACGAGATGAGGACAGGAACAGAACCTTCCAACAGGGCAAAAATAAAGGGTGCTAGGTCAATGGTGAGCTTTCAGCAAGCACTGCAGCCACAAATATATTCAGCCAACTGAGGCAAGAATGAGATGGAGAAGTATTAGAATGATGTGTCTTCTTGCTGTTGAGGGTAGGGGAGGAACATGAGCTAGAACTTGCAGGGGATAAGAGTGAAGAAATGTTGAGTATGATGGTCCATGCTTGTTATTATGACATAAAACCAGTGTGTATCAAGTGTGTTAATGAATGCATATAAACATGTTACCATTTTAAGAAGCATAAGGCAATAGAGTGAGGAATCTGAGGTCTCTCTTAGACGGTGCTCTTACCTGATTGAAAATGAGATTATTCAGTTATTATGCATTACACCTTTGTATGCTGAGGATCTATGATGACTTGTTAGTTAGATCATTTTATTTTGCTAACCAGATAAAGAGCCAAACTCAAAATCTGTCTTTGGTGACAAGTTTCATCCTATCATCTCAGTCTTCTTTGCTCTCCTCTTGGCTGCTGGGCTGTACCTCACAGTACACCAGCATTCATCCGTTCCCTATCTGTCTATGACACATAGGTCTTAATAGCTCAAAGATGTGTTAAGGCTGTGGGATGGGGCCAAGTATCTTACAGTAAAATATCATTGTCTCTCCCAAAATGAAAAATCTCATATTAGATAGAAAGTACTTAATATCTGCTTGCTGACCAATTTATCTTTTTAAGAGTTGAATGGCTAGTGAAAAGTTTTATGCAGCAATTTCTCAGCTAATAGAATGTACACAATTCTTGGTACCTTCTGGGCATTCCTGGGAGATGCTGAAATCATTCATCAATTTTCTTTTTATGGGTTACTCAACTAGTTTGTATAGGATGAGCTCTAGAATGCATACCAGTAAAAGGCAAGCTCTTGTCATATGAATAGTCTGCATCTACTGTGTCACACAAACAGCTTTTGTCTAGACAAGTATTTGTGTGTTAGGGATGATCAGCTTTAAGACGAATGCCCAGAATTACTGGGTGAAACTGTTTTCTGTAACACAATGATAAATATGAAATCACTTTGGTAATGAACTTAGTGGAAAAATAATATTATTAATATTATTAAAAAACAGTCATCAATATAGTCTATTTTGTATTCTCTTAGATGAAATTTCTTCATCTAAGAGATAAAGATGCACTGAACACTTAGGCACATATGAATTTCTAGTTCGTTGACTTTTACAAAGCATAAGTTTAATTTTTATTTTAATTCTTAACCCTTAAGCTATTTGAATATGATCATATTTAAACCAAAATATAAATATTACTTATGTATTTCCTACAATTAGCAACCACATTATCATACAATAATGACCTTTAATTTTATGCAGCAGGTTATCATGGAAAGTAAATAAGTTGTTGATACAAATTACATTTAATTAAGCATCTCACACACTGTACATAGCACTCTATAAAATAGCTATGTAGAGATGTGGCAAGTTTTTATTTATTATTTATTTATTTACTTATTTCAGCTTTTTTTGAGACAGAGTCTCATGGTAGACCAGGCAAGTCTCAAATTCACAGTGTAGGGAAGGATGAACTTGAACTCCTGACTGCCTTCACGCCATCAGTGCTTGGATTATAGACATGTGTCTCCACTCCTTGTTTATGTTGGCTGGGGATTGAACTCAAGTCTTCATGCATGCTAGGCAAGCATTCTACCAATTGAGCTACATCCCTAGTCCAGTTATTGTAAAATGTTATCATTCTGTGAAGGAACTATTGACAAGGTGAACTATTTCGATTGTCCATGTGATATGCAAATTGACAAAGATTAAACAAAATGAAGTATATTAGAGAATTAGAATTTTACACTGTATAAAACCTATGATAAAAATATCAGGAATAGTTCTCGAATAGAATTAGCATTAAGCAATGTACCAATGAAATCCTGTTTGTTTGTTTGAGATAGCTCCCTGTAGCTGGCCTGGAACTTGCTATGTAAATCAGGCCTCCATTTCATAGAGATCTGCCTGCCTCTGATTCCATGTGCCAGGATTAAAGGTGCGTCCTACCATACCTGGCAGATGGAATCTTTTACAAAGATTTGGTATATAACGTATTATAGTTGAAGCATTTGTTGAATTCAGTATGACACATTATCTTTTTTAAGATTTCCATTCTTCAATATTTGATCTAAAGAACTGGTTATAACAGGCTCACCAAGCCTCCAAGTAAGCAATGTTAAACCTCTGTAGCGTTTATTTCAAATTTCTATTTATTCCTTACTAACGTACATATTTTTTTGTATTGCTTTTATTTGTTCCACAGATCAGATTCTAATTAATGATAAAATCATAACACTTACATTGTTTACTTAAAAAATAAATTCAGACAATTTAGAAGTTTTCTTTCATTTGTTTGTTTGTTTCGAGAGAGGGTCTCTGAGTATCCTATGTAGACCAGGCTGGCCTTGATCTCATAGAGATTCACCTGCCTCTGCCTCCTGAGTGCTAGGATTAGAGGCATAACCCACCTTGATAGACAACTTAGAAGTAATTTTAAAGTTAACAGTGAGCTATCTCATCCACTGATACTTTTGTGGGTTCTTGGATAGAGGGAACAAAATATATCACGAAGAGGTTTTTTTTTTGTTTTGTTTTTTAATTTTTATCACCAAGGAAAAAATGATACACAAATCTTTCTCTGAAAGCTCCTTTCTCCCTATGGGGGTAACATACTTTAAAATGGAGATTAATAAGGAATTATGGCTCAGACTTAACTAAATATTGCAAATGTGATAGTATAATATCTTGGTAAATATAAGAATTTTGAGAGCCGTAAAATTAAAGACTTTGATATGTGTAAGATCAATAGACATAGCTTATCACTATTTAATATGAACTTTAATTTTTAAATGCCATGTTCCAGTGAAAAAGTGTACTGCCCAGAAAAAATGAAATTTCAATAAAGAATCTAGACAAAAGAAACAAACTTTCTATTAAAGCCCCTTTAAGAGGCTATACTTACGCAGCGACCTCTTCTTTTGACAGTCCTTTGAAATTCACCTCCAAGTAATGATCTATGTCATCTTTTTCTTTGATCATCTGAGACCTAAGTGAAATGGAAAGAAATAATAAAGCACCATCTGACCAAGCTGAAAAGCTTCCAAATACATGAACCGTCACCAGGAAAATGGAAGCATTCAGTAGCTAGTTGTAGCAACAGTAAATGTTCTGCCATGGTTATAAGGATAAGTTGATCATTTCCAAGTATCTTAAATGAAAAAAAAAGACAGGGAATAGTAAATCTAATGAATAAACTCATTGTAACAACCCATATGCTGATGTCAGTGGAGTTTTCTTTCAAAGCTCAGGTCACCCATCTTGCTCATGGAATTCTGTGGTATAACTCTCTCACTACTGAAGTATTTTCTTTGTGTGGAATCTTAAACTAAGGAACTCATACTGAGGGTCATCTGGGGACATAAACTTGACTTGTTAGGCTTTAATATATATGACAGAATGCATGAAAACTGTTGGAGGGGCAATGGAGTACAGACGGGGAGGAGTCTAAATATGATTAAGATGAATGAAATGCACAAAATTCAATAAAAATAGATAATGAAAAAAGAACAACTGTTTGATAAAAACACGTAAAACTGATTTGTTTCAAACATAACTAAAGTGTGCCCAGAAGTGCTGTTGAGATTTTTTTTTAAATGTTTAAATGTTGTTTTATTTGTTTTGCTTTTGTTTTGAGACAGGATCTCACTATGTAGCTCAGTCTGGCCTTCTCACTCTGCTGCTTCCTGAGTGCTTCAAATACATGTGTGCACCACCATGCATGGCTGAATAGTCTTTTAAATCATACACATATCTCAAATTTTTATTAGAATTTCAAGAAGCAAACAATTTTAAAAAGACTTTACTGAGGAATATTTGTAGTGTGTTACATCCTTCACACTTTGAAAAATAAACATGCTGTTAAGTTCTCCTAATCCTGTGTCTATGGTCCTAAGCATCCCTAAATAGCTATGTTTTACTTGGTGCATTCTTATTAAAGAATATTTGTAAAATCTTTGCTCTAAATATTAAATAATAAACATATTTCTTTCAATTAAAAAAATTCCATCTGATCTTAGGGATGTGAGTTTCAGTTATATTTATTCCTCACTTTGAAAAGAATGTATAATCTCAGTCATTGAAAAAAAGCCAGGAAGAACAAGCTCGCTTAGAATTTGTGACTATTTCACAGTATTCGAAATTAAGCACACATATATGTACTATATGTACCACAAATTATGCACATATTCAAAGATTTCTTGGCTACAGAAAAACAAGTATTTGATTTTCGTTTAAAGAGAACCTTTATTTTTATTTTATTTTATTTTTATTTTATTTTAGTTCGGTTACATATTTATTTTGATCCAGGGGATTGAATTTTTCCAAGAAATGCTAAGAGTTAGATATGAGAACAAAGAAATTTTGTAATATTTTTATCATTATGCTTTGCAGAAATTGAGACTTGTACCTATAAAGAAAATAGCCAACTTGCACATGGAAATTACTTATATTGGTAAGCAATGTGTTTTCCTAAAAGTCAACACAAACAGAAATGGCAATTTCAAAGTAGCACAGACTCAGTTAATATTCATAAATATGACAAATGCATCAAGTTCTCTCTTCTGCATTTTTCTAGTGATAACTTGAGCAGCTCAGAAGTCGTTCCCCAGCAGCAGCAATTTGGGGATGTGTTTTCAGGCCCCAGTGTCATTTTACCAGCTAAATCATGCCTGCCAATTTACTCCACTAGGAAGTATACATCCCATTCCTCCAAAACAGAAATTAGCTTTTGGGACCTTGTGGCTAAAAACCACATCTTAAAGCTTCTGCTTTCTTTTCTCTGTGCTTATTTAACAAAGAAAACATCTTGTAATTCTGTAGGAAACATGAAATAATTTTGTAGGAAATAAAATAATTACATTCCTAATGTAGTTATATTAGGAATGTAAAATAATTACGTTAGAATGTAATTATTACACAATGACCACTAGCTTGGAAAATAAATCTATTGGTAGTATTTGAGAGGTTCACCAAGCTTTTCAAAACAGCAAATTTTAGTATTTGTCTGTAACAATGTATCATCTCTTTTCTTCAGACTACCGCAATTTCTGAGGTGTGCTATTGACATCCCTGATGCATGAATTTTATTCTGTAGGAAGAGAAATGTGAACCAGGGCCACATACCTTGGAATTGTTCCTGGAGAACATGGCAGCTTCTGCTTGGCTAAGACTGCGAGCTTTGTACAAGTCACGGGCAGTGGGGGAAAGGTGGTCATTGGGGACTGCAAAACATAAGCAGAAATGGCTGTTTAAAGGATAAAACTTCAAAGGCTCCCTTACGACATTATTAGCAGTGCACTGCCTATTGTCTGAGGTGAGGATGCCTCTGTGTGCACAGCTATTCCTTTTGTTACTCAGAAGCAATGCTGAGTGAGTGGCTTCTCCAAGTTGCTTCTTTCATTATTTCCTTCTGCCCTCTGCCTTTTGAACAACTCATTACTTGTCCGCTTCTCCACCCCAAAGTGATTTATGAGAAAGTCTCCAAAATGCATTGACAATTCAGCTTTTGTTAGTTTGGTAAGAGACATGGTTGTAATTGAAGAGTTTTGGGATAGCTGTGGATTTTCATGGTTCATTCTTGGTCTTCTCTTGGCACCAATAATTAAAAATAGTGTGCACTTTGCTGTTTTCTAGATGCTTCATCACTCAAAAATAAAGGCTTCCCTTAGAAGTGATAGATGTTAGGAATGATTCTCAATAAAGAGACATCTTCCCCTAGAATGCACAAAGCTTAAACATTAGAATAGAAGATAATTTCAAAATGTATTGGTTTTAAAAGTTGTTTAAAACAATGTTCTCTCTTGCACTTCAGATGTGTCAAGAATTTGATACAGTGTGAAAAAAAAAAGGCTTTCCTCTGGCCTACAATGCCTGGGGGCCCTGATGAAGACTCAGAAGTTGGAGTAACCCCACAGTTGGGACAGGTCTCATCTCTACTCATTTATCTGGTAGCAGAGGCTATCAGCTGGAATTCCAGCTGGACCACACATACATGTGGTTTGGATATATGCCTTGGGTCTCCTCATTGCAAAGCAGCTTCAGGACTTCTTAGGGACAGTGCAGGTCTCTAAACGCAGTATCTCGATGAAAAGTCAGATGGAAGCTGTTTCCCTCTTGGGGTCTAGCCTAGAGGACACATAGCATTATTTCCACTGTGGTAACAAGCCTGTCTATACTCGAGGTATTTAAACACAGAGCCATCCACCTATGGTTCACACTTCAAAAAGAAAAGGTCACATTTTAAGAAGAAAATGTGGAGTGGGAGAGTTGATGGCAACCTTCTCTGAAAAATGCAATGTAGTGAGCAATGAGAAAGGCAAGTCTACAAAATTCAGTTATCAAAACTTTACCCCCAAAAGAAGAACAATGATTCTGATGTCCACAGGACCTCGAATAGAAAACATCACTTTAGCAAGGGCTCATAGTTGCAAAATATCCCATACTCCTGTCAATTAGAGAGGCAGCCAAAAGGCCAAGGGCTCCTGGTACCAACGCTTTGACCTACTATATCAAAGTAGTTTCTCCAAGTACTTGAAAGGCTAGTTCTAAGTTTCAAATCACTTGTCTCCAGCATTTTAGACCTGTGTGACCTGGGGTAAAACTGTCAATCTAGGCCGTGTAAACATTCAACAGATGTTACTGAGCCACTACTTTGTGCAGGTGCTGTCTTAGGTGCTGAAGATACAACAGTGAACTAAAAGACAAAGATTTCTGACCTCATGAAATTTCCATTATGACAGTGAATATGGAAAAAAGAAGACAGTGCATTCATAAGCAAAACAGAACACAAGACAGTGATAAATAAGACATTATAAGGTAAAGTACAATGCAAATGCTCAGCAATTTTGGAGAGTAAACAAAACCAAAAAGCAAAGAAATAAAAATTAGGGGACAATGGAGGGTCTTGAAGTTGCTGTAAAAACTCTATTGCTTTCTGACTGAGGTAAAAATCAATTGGAGGATTTAGAGTGTGGAGGTGATACAACTTCAGTTTCATTTTTGAAAGTTTATTCTGGATTCTCTTGAGGTTAGACCATGGAGTAAGGAAGACCAGAGAGCAGAGAGGCTATTGTGGAGGTATCTGTGAAATCTGGTGGGGGAGGATGGTAGCTTTGGAAGGATGGAACATGGGGTGGCAGGGCAGTCAGACCTGTGACTGAGCTGTCCACGGATGGTGGAGACAATGTTGTTCATCCTCTAGGGATATCAAATCATTGCAGGATGGGACTGGAGCAGGGCAGGCAGAGCACTGAGACTTGAGGGAAAGCCTTGTAAAAGCCAGTATCAGTAGAGCTACTCTTGTGCTTTTGAAAATGATGATCACTGTGGGCTAAATATATCTTTTTGCAAAATTAGATAATTCAATGCATGTCATTTTTATTTTAGATGTATCAGAATCCTATTATGGTCTAGACATAATAGCTCCATGAACCATAACATGTACTTACTGCATGCATTTATAGATTACATAGTTACAGAGTTATACAGTTAAAGCACACAGTCAAAATAGAAAGTGCTAGTCTTTTCTGCAGAATAATAGGATGGTATTATGACAGATAACTTCATAATATAATGACAATGCTTTTTAATTTAAAAAGATTTTTTTCTGATCAGATGTTATATTAACCAGTTGATCTGTCTGGATAATGAAAGCCTTATGCAGAACACGTGATGAGAAGTCTTGGCTAACATAGAACAAGCTTCTTACACAGGTTTGAAGAGACACCAAAAGCTCCCTAAACACACTTCTCATGAGCTTACTACAGAAGATGTGAAGCCTGTATTCTAGAGTGTTCCAATTTAAAGAATAGATTTGAACCAACATAGTTCTAAGCCCTCACTTATCTCTCCCTAGTGGGCTTCAAAAAGGAACAAAGGCAATAGCTATAGTTCCTCCTGTAAGGGCATCCCATGCCCCGTGAGTGAAGACTGTTCTGAGGGCCCCACTTGGCTTTCTAAGGCTTATGTTGGATCCTGGAGCCAGAACAGTCTCTGTGCAACTGTAGGAACTTTGGAAGGATTCACCAACAAGCTCTCAGATTCTAAAAAGATGAGCTATGTGCAGACTGATGGAACAGACCTACAAGTTCTGATGTACAACACATCCCATTGAGATGTATATAACCTCCCCATCCCTCAGAACTGACCTACCAGTATATTATGCGAAATTGGGTTCAGTGAATTCTGCTAGAAAATATAAGCGTCTAATTAAATCTAATGCAAATGATACATACAGAGAGGAATTTGTCTTCTTTGTCACACAGATCAACTATGGATTTTTTTTTCAAGTTCTGAGTCAATGTTTCCTACCATTAAAGTTTCAGCTGCCAGCTTCTTCATTTTGCTCTCCTCTGATCTGAGCTCATGAGCAGCAGGAGCACCTTTACTCTTAAATTTAGTTTAATGTAAGTATTGCAAGCCCTGCTGGCAAGCCTCAAGGCACAAACTCTGAATGAGAGGTGGTCAGAGCTGAATTATAAAGTAGGGGAAAAAGCTATTAACTGCATGCTGAAAAAACGGCGTGCAACCCATCTATGATGGAAAGTTGAAGCTTGGCACTGGGGGAGAAGTCCAGCAGCCTTTCTCTCACTCTCTCCTTGATCCTCATCCATGTCCTACCTTGCCATATGCTTGTTGGGCAAAGCTATTTTGTTTTCCATAATCAATACATGATATCTATTTTATACATGGATAATGTGTAATTTGAAGTACCTGCTTCATGTAGTAGTTGGAACGTACTCAATATTTAATGTGATCCTGTACCAATCATTTTCCTAAAAATCTACTCTTTTTCATGCCTTATCACTTCAGTCTTGTTTTTGCTGAAATTAAAGTAGAAAGGAGTTGTATTCCAGCAAGGAACAGCAACCTAGGGGAACTAAGGTAGTAAAAAAAAAAAAAAAAAAAAACCAGCAATGAAAAAAAAAAAAAAAAAAAAAAGCCAGCATGTTTAGGGAACTGTCATTTCAGGGTTTAGTTCTTCCTGCGGAATTGTTAACATGAGCTGCATCACTTTCCTAGTGTTGGCCAAACAGCATCCCCAGCTGTCAGTGAGTTCGAACCCAGACTTGGCAATTAGGAATGTATTCCACTTGTGCCATGCACTATCTGATGGAGTCCAACCGCAAAAGTGGAACCCATCCCCCTAAGCCATCAGGGTCCACCAAACTTTATTACCGCTGGGGAAAATGCAGGAGGTTAATAAACAGCTCAGGCTCAGGTGAGTAAGAGAGAAGGAGAGGCACCTCTCTGGCTGGTGCCCAACTGAGCTTAGCCTCAGAAACCAAGGCTGAAGAAGTATGTTGGGAGGACCCAGAGGCAGTCCTCCTCCCCCTGTGCCAGTGGATGGGCAGAGCCACATGTGGCACTACAGGGGCTGAGACAAAGATCAAAAGGCCGCCCGGAGCCATTTCATTGTTGGTATTCAGAAAAGATTTGGCGCATTCTTTGATCTGCTGGTTGGCTCTCCTATCAGAGGCAGTTACAGCCTCTAAGTTTGGCCCCCACATGCAAAGACAAATGAGAATGGAGAAACACAGGATGAAAGGTTTGCATTCTGGGTCAGGCTGAATGTGTCCCATGGTGTGAGTTTAAATCTCTGGCCTCCAAGTAAAATTCTTCAAAGAGTAACCCTCCTGCCCACTGTCCCCTGAGATGCCCCTAACAGGAAACAGAAAGGACAGTGGGCTACTGTGTACACAGCTATTTGGGGAGGGACTCTAGGCAATGCCTGGCATCTCCAGGCCCAGTCACTCTGGAGTGAAAACCAATGATGTAAAACTTGTTCTTAAGATTCAGGACTTTTTATATCACAAGCTCTTTTGCTACAAAAGATGAAGAAAACTGCAGAAGAAATGTAATAGATTATACACCTTAAAAGAGTGTAAGTTCATATACATTTAAATAGTCCTTAAATAACAATGGATGTTTATATCATAACACACCAAGGACTTTGTGGTGGACGACTAGATAGGTTGTTAAATAAAAAGTAATCGAACCTTACGCTTATTAGTGATTCAATCAAACCATCAAATAGGGGAAGCCTTTAAAGGTTAGCCATGTTTTATCCAACATACCTTTACAGATTACTGGCGAAGATCACTCTGGACTCTCAGATGCCAGACTAAAATTCAGCAAAATACAACAACATAGGAGAAGGGGGGAAAGTTAAAAACTGGTCAGTAGAATAATTCCTCTGACCTTCCCCAAACAAGAGATAAGTCTCACTCATAAAAAATTCTATGTATCTAGGATGTATTTAGATGAGCTAGAAAGCAATATGCCCAAATGTAGACACTATGAAACTAAATCACTAATTGAACAAAATGCAAACAACTGAAATTGTGTGTGTTGACAATAGTTCAAGCAAACGCGACACAGGATAATCACTCCTTTCTCTTACATTTATAAGACGGTGCTGTTTTTAGGAAGCCGAGAACTGAGAGGGTCTTAGTTTCTTTCCGTCTCCACCCACTTCTGCGGAGGCCTGGTCTACTTATTGTCGCACCTGTTTGTTTTTCCTTAGAGGGCCAGGTGATCCCAGGAGCAAGAAGAACGCTTTCTGCTCCTCTTCTTGATCGATTCTGGAGGTAAAGGGAGAGGATCTCCTTTTCAGGAAGCTTGAGGCCAGAGGATGGAGGCCGCTGATGGAGGAGGTGTTCCTGGGATTAGGAAAAACGCCTCGCTCTCCTAGGACCTGACCAAGTCTGGTCCTAGCCTCAGCCCCGCCTCCAGGAACCGCAGGGCTGACAGGGGACAGCTCGGGCTCTGGGCTGCGGGGATCAAGTTCCTGGCGCTGCCCCTCTTCCCGCGGTGGGAGGCTGGGCTGGGGACGCAAACGGCGTCTCCAGGGAAACAGAGGGGCCCGGCGGGGCCGGCCGGGGCGGAGTTGGGCTCCACTCGGTTCAGGATTGGGCAGCTCCAACCCCTTCAGCATGGGGCGGTGCCTGGGGAGGGGGTGGGGCTTGCGGCGGCTGGGCGTGGCCTCCGGGAGGAGCAGCCTCTTCCGGTTGAGCTGCCAGAAGTTTGGCCTTTAAGTTTGATAGTCCCCGACCTGCTTCCTTCACGGTAGTGATGTTTCTCAATGTCTTGCGACATTTTTCTTTTGTCCACGAGATTGGCAGGAGACGCACAGATCCGTGGTTCCCATTAACCTGATACGACTTTCTCCACCCATGTAGACCAGTCCTTACCCTTTGCCTCCGCCTTTGAGTGTCAGATCCTCAGAGGTGTCCAGAAAATGATCCGACTTTGAATTGTGGTCAGCTAAGCTCAAGGTGTCTCAGAGAATTACCCTTTGTTTATTCTGACTGTGTGTGCATGTGTGTGTGCGTGTGTGTGTGTGTGTGTGTGTGTGTGTGTGTGTGTGTGTCTTTTTGCTGTGTACCTCTGCCTTGCCTGGAAGTTTGACAGATCTGCCTGTCTCTGCCTCCTGAGTGTTGGAATTAAAGGCCTGCTCCATCACACCCAGCCTTCATATATATATTTGGCCTTTTTGAGACAGGGTCTCCCTGCAACCTCAGCTGACCTGGAACTCATTATATAGACCAGGCTGGCCTCGAACTCACAGAGATCCGCCTGCCTCTGCCTCCCAAGCGCTGGGATTAAAGGCGTGCGCCACCACGCCGGGCTATTCTGATTTTTTTTTTTAAACCTGAAACTCAGGATTTTGTATTCACTCTAACTTGAGGCCAGCCTGTGTAATTTCAGCCCATCTTTCCATCTTGTCTGCCGCATATACACATTAGAAGTGAACTTACTTCCTCATTCTCTCAAAGAGTGAGCAAGAGTGAGGCTTGCTGCTTATTATTTCTCCAATAAAAACATGCAGGGAAGCCAGGCTTTATTCACTGCCTAATGTCACACACTAGAGACTGAGCTAGCAATCTAGCCACCCATGTCATTCTGTCAACCCTAAATTGATTCTAGCTACAGTACAAGCATATAACCATAACTACACTTTTATTACCACATTTGATTTTCTATAACGAATCACTAAATTAGGTCCACCAAGTAAGTTCACAGTATGTATTCACTAGATCAATGTAAGACTTCAATTGATGATCATGATTATCTGTAAGACGCCCCCACCCATTTCACATCAGGAAGGATGCATCTGTTCTCATGAATCCCTTCTCCAGCTTTCAGAACCACTTTAACACAACCTCCCTTGACTTGTGTGGCTCTCTTCCAGTCTCTGCTGATTTTCTGAATCGGAGATTTGCAAGTTCTATGTTCCGTCCTTTCCCACTTATATAAGGATCTCTTACTTAGAGGTCTGGAAGGCTCTTTCTGGCCTGTTTGGACTTTTTCCTCCTGCTCCCTGTTTTTTCCACTGGAAGTTCTCTGACTTGTTCTCCTGCTTAGTATGAGATTTCTCAAAGCTAGAAAATGCAGTTAGAGAACTTTGCAAGTGAGAGAAAATTCAAACTGGTTCAAGAAAAAAAAAAAAAAAAGGAAAAGAAAAAAGAGGCTTCTTCCAAGTGAAGGGTGCTTGCTTCAGGGCCATTTTATCTAGTGACTTGGGCCCTTCTGAAAGCATTAGAGACTCTGAGGCATGCCTACCTTTCATGAAACAATTAATCTTAGTACTTCTGCTTATAGCTGTTTTTATTATATTAACATCACCTTGGATGATGCTCAGTGTTTATTTGTGTCCATCTTTCCTGAAAGACTATGAGCTCCTTGAAAACAGGGACTTTTTAATCTTTATTTTTCTAAATTCCTGGAATAGTACAGGAGGGCAGGGATAGGAAATGGTAGTGTTCATAGAGATTTTGAATAACTGAATGAATGACAGAATAGAAGTTCCTCCAATGGATTCTTCCTCCTCTCCGTCTAGAATTTGAAGAGGAATGGGGATGGGCTGTGACTTTTTGGATGCTGTTACTGACATAACTATATCCAGAGTGTCTCTTCTGATCTTTGCTCTGGCAAAAGGTTTTCAGGAAGTGTCAGTTCCCTCAACATGCAAGCTCCAGTCCTCCAGTGGGTACTGTTACAGTCTAACTACTCTCTCTAACAGCTTTCATGTCTTTTGACACCTTAGTTATCAATTCCAATAGGGAAATTACCCTCTTTCTTCTTTTCCTCGTGTGTTTTACTGCATGCGTTTTCCCCAACACGAAGAAAGGGTGTTCTAGGCAATTTCAGTGTTCATGTCTGACATTGTCCTTATTTTTTTTCCTTTTTCTTTTTTTGTCTTTTTGAGACAGGGTCTCCCTGTAGCCCCAGCTGTCCTGGAACGACCAGGCTGGCCTTGAGCTTACAGAGATCTGCCTGCCTCTGCCTCCTGAGTGCTGGGATTAAAGGTGTGTGCCACTACACCCAGCTTGTCCTTATTTTCTTTTAGCCACTGACTGTACATTCTAGATACCAGAAAGTAGTTTGACTTCTCCAGCATTCATAATATGAAATCCACTTTCATTTTCCTTCCCTTGTATGTGATCTCTTAATAAGATCTACATTCTCAATGGCAATCACAAATCTCAGTGGCCTAAAGCATCAAAGGTATTCCTGCACTATACTGTGCAACTGTCACAAGTTAGTCTTGGGTTTTGCTCCAGGTTATTGTCACAGCAGAATTAGGCTGAGGGAATAGCCACCACTTGCTCCTGGCCTGTGAGAGGGAGATAATAATAGAAGTAAATTGCCTACTTGCTTCAAAAGCTTCATCTAGAATGATAGCCATGGCTTTTTCTCACATGTCACTAGCCACAATTCATGGGGTCCTGCTCAATTTCAAGACTAGGAAATGATCATCTCACCAAATACCTTGGAGGGACTGTTCACAGTGACTATTTCCAGTCAAACTGCTTATGTAGCTGAGACTGGTCTTGAACTCCTGACCCTCCTGAGTGCTGGGATTACAGGTGTGCTTCACCAAATCAGGCTAATTGGCTTTTATGATTTTTGTTCTGACATTTCATGGGGTTCTTGAGGTAGAACTCTTTAGTAGCTTCCTATATCTTTGCTCGCATTTAGATAATTGTCACCTATTACTTTAAAAATAATTTCTTTTTCTCATGCATTCTATGATTCTGTTCATTAAATATAAAGCTCCCTGATTTGACTTTTTATCCCTGATATATATATGGTCTTTACCTTTGTTATATTGTCAGCTGTAAAATTTTGAAAATAACATTTGTCACTCTTTTATGGGTGGAAGGAGTCATATTTTTAGCCTTTGAAAGCTCTTTTCATTTTTTTAGGTTTCTTTATTTTTTATTGTGCATATGTGTATCGATATGTATGTGTGTCTGTGTGTGTGTCTGTATGTAGGTCAGAGGATAATTTTCAGGAGTCAGTTCTCACCTTCCATTCTGTAGGACACAGGGGTTGAACTCAACAGTCTAAGGGGTTATTAGGTTTGATAGCAGGAGGCTTTACCTACTGAGACATCTCCCTGGTCCAGGATAGTGTTCTAGTTAGAGGTGCCGGGAATCAAACCTAGGGCCTCGTGCATGATAAGCTCTACCATTATGCTCCTGCACCACCATTTTTAATAAGTTCTTTTTCATGAATAGAATTGCTCCTCATTATGTCTGAATATATCAATTGTTTTTTAAAATAATATTTTTTATAAATTATCTTTCCATATTTTATTTAAGGTTATTCTCTTTTACATGGTCTATTGTCCTTGGCTGCTATACTGATTAGCAATAGGTTCTGCTTCTAAGAATGGACAACAGCAATATCAGAATTGGAATGACAATCCACTGTTTCTGGTTCCCAGACCCTGTTTTGTAGTGTCACTGGATATGGATTCTATTCTCAAGATAATCTCTTTGGAAATCCAGTCACTACATCTGTGTTCTACCTGAAGAAAGCACGCCCAGGACAACAACAGCATGGTCTTTCCATGATGAACACATCCCTGCTTACTTTGTCCCACTGGCAAGGACTTCCTCAAATTTCCACTTTGACCCTCGAGGGCAGTTGGAAAAATATTACCTATATTTTGAAAATCCAGATGACTTGCCTAAAAATCATGTTCTATAGCTATGGAAAGTAAGAAGGAATAGAATATGGCACACTCCAGGCATTAATGCTACAGATATCAGTTCATCTTTAAGAAAGAAACGGCTCTCCGGTGTAACTAACCCCTTTTCTAATCAGTATTGTTACCCTGAAGTTTTCTCTAGTATCTCTGGTCAGAGTGGGCAAGTCCTGGTTTTTCGCATTTCTTTTAAGATGACAAGAGAACAAGTTCTCAGGCTGTGCCTGATACACTAGAGAAAACAAGAGTTCTGTCCCGAGGTGTCAGCAGGCACACCTGGAGCCCTATGTTTCACCGAAAATTCATTTAACATCTTTAGAAACAGTTGTGTGGTGTAAAGTCCTCCTTCCTGCTCCATGTCTAAAGGTGAGGTTGGCAACTGGGATGGGAATAGCTGAATATGTTGTGTTCAGACCTAAATCTTCCCTGACTTAGTTTTCTTTATCTGAAGATGCTGGGAAATGACTTCAGTGTTCATGTTGGACAGTTGTCCACCACGTCCAGGCTGTGTCTTCCTTCACCCAGGGACTCCTTCAGCTAGCTCCCTTCCTCTTTTCCCTCAGAGGCCTTTAAAATCTTTCATTCACTGGTATCTCCTACCCTATGTCCATCATATTTATTTTTATGTTTGTTTATGGTACTTGTAAATTCTTTCTTCAGTAGGAAGTTGAAGTGGAAGGGAGAGTCATTTATCAGCCTCTGAATCTTCCTAAGGAAAGAAATTCTAGGATAAGACTGAAGAAGAATTGTGGAGCAGAAAAGGAGACATTAAACACGTAACAAAAATGGAAAATGTGGTGGAAAATGACAGAAAGGAATTGATTGGC